GCATTACTTGAGACAAGACTCTTGGACTAATTTATGATATTTGACCTTGATTGATGTTGTGCAGTTCTGAAGGACTTTACTTACTTCGATCGTAACTTTTATGAACTTTAAATCTTTTTATGTGATTGACAGGCAAGACATAACATATAACCAAAACAATAAAAAAATGTGCCATGATTATTTTTCATAAGAACCAGGTGAGCACAATGCAGCGAATCATAGTTCTTTAAATTTGTTTTCTTTTTGACGGAAGCAAAGATAATAGTACAGTAATTTGTCATCTTTAGAGGCCATCGACATTGCGACAACTCGATTCAATCGATAACTAGGTAAATCGAGCAATATGGTTTATTTTTCTAAGAGAAAATAAAATGTGGAATATAAAAACGAATGTTAAAAAGAAAACAGAATTGAAATCTTAAATTAGCACAGAAGTTATGAATATAATTAGTCATGGAGGATTGTCGCGGTTTTAAACGTTAACAAAATTCACACTTCTTTTTCCCTTTCATTGATAACAGACTTCAATGTATTTATAGTGTTTTAATATAAAAATGTTTCTTTCTGAACAGATGTCAATGGTATGGATTTCTGGACATACACAAATGTACAAGCAAGTGGATTGGTTGGACAAAAATATTGTTATTTCGATAAAAGTCCTATTCCTCTTTAATTGCGAAATCGCGCATTATTTTGACATGTACCTATGAAAGCCCTCGATTTTGTATAACAGAAACAAATGGAGAGAAAATGCAAAAGTAATTTTCCTTTGTTTGTTAAAAAAAAATTAAGAAATAAGGTATTTTTAAATATCTACCTTGATATAAATACATGTACGAGTTTGTCTAGAGATTAAATTTGATATCTTACCACACATGTACATGTATCCCGATAGATGTTTAAAAATGATACCTTATTACTTAGGTGACCTATTGCTATCCGTTTTCGTCCGTCGTGTGTTAACATTTGAACATTTTCAGCTTCTTCTCTGAAACCACTGAACCAATTTCAACCAAATTTGGTATACAGCATTTATGGGTGAAGGGGAACATAAATTGTGAATTTCATGGTCATTGTCCCCCAGGGGGTTGGGGCCAAAACCACTTAAATTAATGCAATCTTTAAAAATCTTCTTCTTTACTCCTGGACACCAAACAGGCAAACTGTTGGCATGAATGTATTGAGCACTGAGTCCTCTACCAAAATTTTGAAATTCATGGCCCCAGGGTTAGGGGTTCCAGGGCTAGGGCGGGGTTATATAGATTATATAGTGAAAATGCATTATTTCTTTGAAAATCTTCTTCTCTGCTCCTGGGCATTAAATAAACTAACTAGGTACATAGTTATGATAAGCCCCAGGGTCAGGGGTTCTAGTGCTAGGGTGGGGCTATATAGATTATATAGTGAAAATGCATTATTTCTTTGAAAATCTTCTTCTCTGCTCCTGGGTATCAAATAAACTAAGTACATAGTTATGATAAGCAAGAGTGCCTCTTCCAATATTGTGAATTTTATGACCCCAGGGTCAGGGGTTCTAGTGCTAGGGCGGGTCTCTATTGATTATATACTGAAAATCCATGTATTCTTTGAAATCTTGTTCTCTGCTTCTGGGTATTAAATAAACTAACTAGGTACATAATTATGATGAGCAAGAGTGTCTCTTCCAAAATTGTGAATTTTATGGCCCCGGGGTTAGGGGTTCTGGTGTTAGGGCAGGGCTCTTTTGATTATATAGGGAAAATACATTAATTCTTTGAAAATCTTTTCCTTTGCTCCTGGGTTTTATGCCTATGATCCAAGTGTATATATTTATGATGAAAAAAGGTGCATGTAGCAAAATGGGTATTTTTTATGCATAGTCTGAAAATAAATTAATGCTTTGAAATCTGCTCTTTGGTATTAATCAACCATTTTATGAAAAAATTTGCAAAATTTTGAAATATGTGGCCCCAGGGTCAGTGGTTCCTTTGGGGTGAGGACAGAGGTGCAAAACTGGTTATAAAGTGGAAGTGCATTTTCTCTTCGTTACTCTGATCTACCTCTGGGTATTAAGGGGGCCGACTATAGTTTTATTGTGTGAAAACTACAATAGCGAAATCTGCATTTTTATACCATATATAACTTACATTAACTTCAGTGTACATGCAAAGTTTGGGGGAAATCTACCGTCAAGGTATTTTTGAGGGACCGTCTCAAAATACAGGTACATTTACTATAGGATTATATAGGAAAATGCCAATTTTTAGCACTTTAAAGCAAATTATACAAATACTACAATAGACATTTTGTTCAAACTATCATATTTGATGAGTAATACTATATTATACAATATATGTAAGAAACACACAATTCTACCGTCTTGTTACCAGAGGGGGCATCTCAATATGCAAAAAATTAGCAAATTTTACTATTTTTATAGAGTATTACAAAATATGACGTACACAATGGATTCACATGAAAACATGATTAAAATATTGAAGATCTTCTCACATTTCTATGTTTTAAATTTCAAGAGCGTATGTTTATCACTTTTTCCTTAATAATATTTTTATTACCCCTTTCTTTAAGAGCTACATATTATCATAACGTCAAAACACACTGCAACGACGTCAACCTACCTATAAATGGCAAAATCGGTTAAAAAATCAGTTATATCAAATTGTAATTACATTTTTATACCTATAATTTCTTCATTTTCTTTAATTCTAATAATTAAGCAAAAAAATTTGCATAAAAACAGTAAATACGCTTCATTTTACTATGATGCGCGAAATATTGCGCAATGGAAACTATAGTCGGCCCCCTTAAGTAAATAGAGTAAGCATGCTAAGGTTATAATTATGATAAGCAATGGTGCCTCTTTCAAAATTGTGAATTGTGGATTTCATGGCCTCTGGTTTAAAACACGAACCAAAGTAATTGTTTAAAGATGTTACACAATACTCAGGTGACCTATAAGGCCCGTGGGTCTCTTGTTATATTTCTGTCTGCCAAATTAAACACTTTAACGTGTTACGTGTTTTATTTTTCATTAATTAGATTAAATCCATTAATTGCGCGTCGACGTCACTGAGAAATTACGTGGAACGTTTATGACGTGCTGAATCCGTGTTTATTTACCTGAAGGGCATTATACAATTAGTTATCCAGGTTCAATCAAGGGTGAATGGATATTTACCCCTGGTTTTATTCCATACACCCTGCAGCGGCCGAAGGATGTGTGGAATACAACCCGGGATATAACCCACGTACACTTTTAATTGACCATGGATGACGAATTGATTTCCTAATTTGTAGACATAAGTCAAATCAACTACATGTATAATTTAATTTTGGTTGTAACGCATTTGGGTTAAATCCATATTATATACTGGTTTGCCTACGTCACAATGAGTTACGTCAAAAACATATCAATCCGCTTGAGCGGGCAAGTCTTTTTTAACAATCTATCTTAACAGTTCCTGATCCGACAGTCAGGGAAAACAGTCAAACTGTTGGCCTTTTTAAAGTTAAAAAATATATAGGGACTATTTTGTATGGGTATGTAGCAAGCGCAAATGATATAACGCCGCCTAATGATACATATATCATAAAGCGTTGCAGTGCAACGCCTAATGTCATCAATTATTGGATTAAAAGTTGACCTTTTCAACCGCTAATGCTAAATCGCCGCTTTATGAAAGAATGATATATATCATTAAGCGGATGAACATGTCAACCATCATTGCAGTTATTTATGACATTGCAATGCTTAATGATATTTGTATCATTAAGCGGCAATATATCATTAGCGGTTGCTACATGGGTATAAACAATGATTTTTGTTCGTAATACTTTTTTTTTTCTTTTAAAAGGGGGGGGGGGGTACCCAAAGTAAAACATGAAAGAGTAAAATCTCTGTATAATATATGTCCAAAACATTTTATTTGAGTGTAAATTACTTAAACAATTTTACATACCTCTTCAGAGATTCTACTTTGAGTACCCGTTGTAAAATACATCTACGTAATTATATAAAAAGGTTCGTTTTGAAACCCGCCTTGCCATCAAAAACGGGCATGTAATTATCTTTTTTGAAAGGGGGCAATCAGATAAAACATTGGCGTCGGAAGCAATTCGAAAGTGGTGGGGGGGGGGGGGGCTAAATCAACAAAAAAGGTAAGTCTAAATTTTCGATGCCTATATATAATGTTTATTTTTTGCAATAAAAAAGTGGGGAGGGGGGCTAAAGCCCCCCCCCCCCCCGGTTCCGACGCTTATGGATAAAAAATTAAATTCCCACCCCTCCAAAAAAATACACCAACTCCGAAATCCCGTTTCGTGCATCAGGGAGGGGTGGTTAGGTTTTAACATTTTTAATAACCAAATTTTATACATTACCACATACCCTGATTTGGCTAAACTGAATCAAAAAAGGGGCAACCAGCCTTTCAATAAACATTTCCTGTGGGTAAATGTAACTCTTTGAAAAAGTGCCCCTGCAACTCCCTGATATACGTGCCTGAACGTCAAATCAACAGTTTTTCGATTTTAAAAAAAAGTTTCTATAATGCATTTGTACACATTTTGCTTTTAATTTACAATTGTAAACCTGCGAGATTTTGATATAAGGGGAAAAACTTTTACAAAGCACAATCGTAAAAAATATACTAGTAGTATCTATAAATTTATATATTTTCAGACTTGTGATGGGGATAATCTTCCTAGACTCCCCCTTATCCTCCTTCCAGAAACCTAGTGAAGATAACCTTCCTTGAAGTAACGTAAATATGGTAGAATAAAATTGTTGAAGCTAATTGTTGATGGATGGGATGGATTTCGGAGTTAATATTTAGTATCCCTGCATAAATATCCGATTATTTTAGCTGTATCATTTCTATATAGAAAGATTGATTTGATTTTTTCACACATAAACATATACCACGGGACCAAATCGAATGTGTTGGAAATTATTCCCGCGAAGCAATTGGCCATCAACAAAGAGACTCCGCCCCACGAGATTTGAGCTTTCTGTCTCCAGTGTCCGCACTCGTCGGAACTTGTCGCAAACGCCAATTGTCAACCGTTTTTAACAATGTAATCCGGGAATATTAATTTCATTGATGATCTGTTAATGAGAAGAAATTTTCGTCATATCCGTGAAGACGTGGGTTTGAACTAAGTACGCGATAATTTGTGTTATCTATTATTCTCCACCAAATTCGACTATAAAAGACAAGAACCATATTAGATCCCCCTAGAATAACAGAGAGTCTTAAAAGATCACTCCGAAGATGAATACTTTACATCTAATGTGTTTGGTGGTATTGTCTCTGGCCTTACTCGGACATTACATTTGTTCCTCAGAACCACAACAGTATTATGGGGACGGTGACGAATATGCAGAGCCAACAGAAGAACAGGTAAAATTTAAATTTCAAAAAGAATTAAAATACTCATTCCATCAAGTTTTTTTTTTCATTGTTGTAAACTGATTCCTAATTTAACTTCGGTGGAAAAATTTCGTATACTATTTTCTCATAATTTTTCAACAGACCACAAACGGATTTTTTTTAAACTTTCTAATGGTTAATTTCATACTGAAAAAATTAAGTCTTTTTTATTGCCCAGTTTCATCTCTCTGAAATTTGAACTGAATTCATCTTTGGAAAAGTTATGAAATAAAATTATTCATTCCAACGAAGTTTCCCCTTACTTAATTTTTAACTTAATGGAGACACCGCATGCCTTTATGTTAAACAACAAACAAATATTTTATTTTTACTTTACTTCAAAAAATAAATTAAAGGAATAGTCAAATTCCTACTAGATTTAATAAATAAATGTGTATACGTTTTCAGAGCTGCTAATCTTAAGTATATACATGCACATGTATCTGTATGGCTTACTACTTCCCTTTCCACCCGTCAAGTTTTAAGTCAAATAATACCGGTTTTTATGACTGTCAACCTTCAGGTTTCACTATTAATTCAAAAAAATAATAAAGCATTCATAGTACTTGCTTATATTGTCTTATCAATTTTCTTTGCTAACTTGCGATCTAAACCATTTTACGGTACTGAACAAATTATGCAGTGGATCGGGATCTACGCTGCCCGTGGACCCCCTCTTTACAATTTTTCATTACTTTATGTTGGCAGCATTTTACCGACATATTTATGTTCCTAAACCCACACCTAGACAAAACAAAACGACAATGCATCTTTATAGTTTTGACAAAATACTCATCGCCACGCGTCAGTTTTATCAATAGTGAATAGTTTCCCGGCTACTCTAAATCACAGGACGGCGACTGAAAGCACTGCTATTAAGAAACGTGCTATTTATTTTCAAAAATTCGTTTAGATTTTGTTCCCATGAGGTAATAACATATATCTTGTCTCAATTTCCAACTGTAGTAGAAACAGTATACGCAGACTTCATTTATATATTATTTCTGTAAATTTAATTTCTAGAAAGCAAACTCCGAGTTACATACACTGCATTTGCTTTTCTCATTTGTCATCATTCCTTGGGGTTTCGACTATGGCGCCTGGAATCAACAGGACAATTTAACGGAATGTTCTGGTGTCAAATTGGAGAACAAAAATGTCAGAAGTTTTTACTTCCATTATAAAAGAAGATGAAGAGGTTTAAAAGTCGGTAAAAGTTAAACTTGAAAGTACATACGACAAACAGATTTCCGTTTAAATTTAGAGGTGACCTGAAGTTATGAGATTAAAAATCATATGAACCCATCTTTATCCGTCAAAAAATCCTAGCAATTATCTTACTAAACCAATTAACATACCTCTTTTGTTGTTATATTTCTTTTAACTGAAAAGAAACTTATTTCTTGGAACATTTTGTGTATACTAGTATTTCGAGCATTTATTGTAATATCAAGCGTAAGCCTCTGTTTCCATATACTAGTACAAATGACTGAACTTCCGTTTTTTGGGGGTTTTTTGGGGTTTTTTTTTTCACGATCCTATATGACAACACAGATGCCACTGTGAGAACATACTCATTAATTGACGCAAAAAGCTACTATTTGACTGTCTGCTCTGTAAACATGGCCTTAATATTTAAATCTGTCAAAAATGAACGACATTCTCCCAACATTAGGTACATTAAATTGACATTTGGTCTGGTTTCCTTCAGAGATTGTAACAAATATATATCTATCTCTACTTGTGGCGATTCTTAGGGACCTGACCTTATCGAATTTACAATGGTACATCCACGCAACGGTTTCTAAATTTCTTAACAAATTATCATGTCAGTTTAATACTGATTCTCATTCTTTCCTACAAAGAGACAAGAATTTTTAAACGCGTTCTTTTGGCTTAGGGACTACAATGTACAATTAAATCAATTAAAAATGCAACCAATACATTCATACAGAATAGTACTGAATTAATAATGACCTGGATCACGCAGGAAATCTTGTGGGTTTCGTATTTTTTTAACCAGTGGGAGTCAAAAAAGTATTTTATCGTGAAACTGTCTTCGATGCATTAAACTGTACGAGTTGAAGCCATTAGAAGTTGCTAATTTTATCGGTTTGACAATAGGGCAATTTTTTCTAATTAAGAAACGTTATTTCTTATTTATTTTTTTAAGTGCAAAATAGTTAAAATGGCCGCATCGAATTCAACTATTATTTTAGAATGATTGTTCAAGATACCAACAGTTTCAATAGAAACAAAGACGATCCATCCAGAAAAAAAGTCTTTGTATTTTTTTATTTCTTTATTTTATTTTTATTATTTTTTTTACATATTGTTCCTACGGTAAACTAATTTTGTGACAGATGATACAAAAAAGGATGCCTGGATTGGTATATATTTTTGGGCCTAATTGTTTTTGCAAATGACACAAATAAAAAAAATTCTAGAATATAAAGAAATTGTAAACCTTCTGTGATGTTCAAAAGTCTGCCCTTCTAAAAACCATCCTTAATAATCTATACAAATATTTTTCACTTCAAATCCCATTTTTGTTAAACTTTGAATAAAAAACTGATAACTACGCGGTGGATATTTTTCATTTTACTCATTTAAACATGACCCAAGTTGTTATTTTCAATTTTTTTGACAAAAGTTTGTTTGTATCATCTGTCCTTAACAAAAGTATCATTACAATGTCAATTTCAACTATGACTTTAAAAAAACAAAAACAAAGACAAAATACTTTACCATTAAAACTCAGTGGAATCGTTTTTGTTCAAAGAAATTGAACAGAAAAAAGAAATATAAATTTAAGTTCGGGAAAACATATTTTTCATAAAGACTGAGCGATTTGCACCAGCAAGTTTGGTCAATATTGTAATTAAAAGCATAATAAAGATTAGTTATCCCACATATCAAGAATTGTCAAAAAATGCAAAACATAATGTACATATGTAGCAAAAAAAAAAATCCATTTGGATACGATCCTTGGATTAAAATGAGAAAGAAAAGATTAACATTTTTCTTTAATAATTTTTGTTTTAATACAATTGAAAAGTAATGTAAATTCCATGGAGTGGAAAACTAACTATATACGCTTAAAATCTTTATTTTTGGTGTTTTCAAATAAGTTGTAGATTGTGAATCATGCAAGGATTATTCCAAAATATCGAAATGGCACAGATAGATGCTCAATGTAAAATCAGAGTAAATTAAAATATATTCATCGGCAGATTGATTAATCTGCATGTTAATTAGTTCAGTCTATTGTCGGAGTGGGGAGTGATGAAAATTAGATGTTGAAACCAAGTTAAATCTAAATCTAATCAAACACCGTACATAGGCGGACGGTAATAAATTCTCGAGGGTAATTATCAAACATGACCTTCTTCAATAGCCTGCTGAGGACAATTCTCCACATTCTAAAACATTATCACTGATATCAATATCAAGGCCCAGGCTCTGGCATTTTGGGAAATTTTTTTTTTTACCTAAAACGTCAATTTGTTGCAACACAATTGCTAGACATAAAGGAATAAAACTAATTTTGTTATCTAATAATACGACTTTCTGAAAACGGATTAAATTTCAGTATCACATTATCGGTATAAATATTCTTTCACTTGCAGTTCACGAAACCGTTATTTTTTTTTTCTTTTAAATACGTTAAAAATGAAAAAAAGCACAATTCAATAAACTAGAAAATAATGTTACGTAAAAAAAATCGATTTTTATCATTTTACATCCTCCTTTAATTTTCAGCGAATGATGATTAACGATCAATTCAAAAGACAGCTATTGAAAAATTTGAACCAACTCCGAGACAGCGGAAAATTGAAAAGATTAATGGCTCAAAAAAGATTTTCTTCCGACAGACAAACAAGAGGTAAGGATTCCATTTTTCTTCACTTATTTCCAATGTTTCCTGATTTAATGTAGGGTAAATAAAATTTAAAAATGATTTGGAGACATAACCGATAATTTATTGGTTTGGTTCTCTGTCTCTGTCTCTCTCTCTCTCATGTATCAACATATAAACAATACACAATAATACAAGCCAATTTTTTTCAAAATAATTGATAAACTGTTTACATTGTAATTATATGAAGCCATCTTCAAATTTAGAAGATGTATGTCAAATATGTAATTTTTATATGTAATATCTTGACCAATATGTGTGTTTAAGTCAAAAACTAAATTTTAATATTTCTCGTTTCTTGAATCAGGTGGTGTAGCTCTGTGTTTGTGGAAGGTTTGTCCAGCTGGCCCATGGCTCGTGCAGAAGTAAAATTATCAGGACCGAACCAAATCCAAGAATGTCAGTCTATACAGAGTGCCGCCTTATTTATATTAAATGTTCCATTTACACTGTCAACAATAAACTATACCATGTTGCACAATATCTATTATAGTTGTATATAGTGTTCATCAATGGGTTAACAAATGATTGAATTAATGACGCTGAGTTCATATCCTGTGTGGGTTTTTTTTTTAATTTCTGATTTGGTGCTGAAAATTATGTTATATTATTAACATGTATTCCATGCTATTTACTAATAAAAATAAATAGCCCTATTGTTTTGCGAATTGCGATTGTGCAAAACATACACAAGATGTTAATGCAAAGTTCTTATATATTGGTTTGGGATATGATGTGAAAAATACTGCTATTACTTAGAATGGGTTACTTCATTAAAATTTTCAGCAGCTGATGATCAGTTTCAGAATTTCATTAAGTTGCGCATTTACAATAAATGACGTTATTTTATTTCGTAATAAATGGTGCACTTTAATAATATGCTGTGGGTATTTCATGTTGCAGTGTGCTTTTTATAGCATACTACCCGGTACATAGGTATGATTATTTATATGAAAATTGTGGTTTTTCATTATATGCCGTTACATTTAAATTAGATGGTGCTTTTTTCAATGCCAGCTCATGTTAGTGCTTTACGTTACTATCAACGAATTTATTGTTTGAAATACTTAAAGGTTGACAAAATTGTGTCACTTCTTATTTTGGTAACATACAATTATAAGCACTGAAAATAGATGCCCGCGTGAACAATTGGTAGAAGCGTTTGCTCAAAAGTGGAAGAGTTGATAATTCTAATGACGCGGGTTCGACTCCCAAAGCGGGATATTGCGACCGAAAATTTGGATTAGACCGTATGAAGCGAGGTCCCGTGTCGTAGTAGGTGCTGGCTCAAACAGAATTCCTCACTGCTAAAAAAAGAAGCGCCGAGTACACGTTATTTTTTTTTTATTTCCCAATTTCAACATCCAAATAACAGTATATTTATACATAATATAAATATTGCGGATTGTTATTAAACATTGACCCACTTATTTTTTTCCTCTCACTCACAGGTCCCGCGAGTGGCGGCGTCTGCAACGCAACAAGCAGTAATCTATAAATATTTGAATTCTTTATCTAATTGATTTCAAAACTGAATATAGTAAGGTTAAAATCGGTTTAAAACATGAGTGATATGATAAAAATTTTAAATGGTTACCTTTTAACTAAAGTAACATATGACTGCTAAAACACCACCCTCCCAGCTATACAACTTTAGTGTGCAAGACTGCCATGCATATCAATTGCAGCTCAATTTCTAAGATTCAATAGGTTCATCAATTTTGAGATCTGAGCGAAAGAAATATTCTTTGCCATTCTTTTTAGAAAATGAGGTTGAATTTTCTCTATCCCAGCGCAATGAAGTAACCCTTGGACTTCCGGTATAGGACCGTTATTTTAGATACAAAATAATATCCTATCTAAATGATTTGCCCATAAAATAAGATGTTGCATTTCTTTTGCGTTTCGGTAATACTTTTTGAAAAGTCTCAAAGCACTTTAAACAAACAAAAACAATATCAACATTAAAGCTACTATAGAGGCTTGGGGCGACATTAGAGCCATATTTATCTGGTTCCAAACCAAAGGCACTTGCTTTGTTTTCAAGGTACCAATATCTTTTCTCTTCACAGGTTCAGGCATTCCCATTTCAAACGCGTAGATTACAAAGAAGAAAAAGTCAACTTCCAGTTAGGATTATGATGTACGATGATGCCAGAGATAAAGGTACCCATACCTTTTTATTGAATTTGTCCAATTTTTCGATTATTATTTTGAGCGTTTGAAATCATATTGAAGAATAGTGACCAGAATAAAGGCCCCGGTAGCCTCTGGTTTTATCGAACACTATATCCCTTACTGGAAGTTAATGTATCTTCCGTAAAGACTTCAAATGTCTAGAAGTTATTGTCGTGGGGGGAAAATGGTCAATAATAGTAAGATTCACGACGAAGGACGTCTGGAACGATTTATTTTAAACGATGTCTATAAAGCGAATGATTTTATGTTCAAGATTAATTCACGATTTGAAAATAAGTGGGCGGGGTGCCGTATATTATGTTACGTACCTTGTAGAAAAAGAAAGAAGTGGCTGCATGCAAATTAAACAAGATCGCGGTAAGAAATTGTTCTTATGATGCTTCAATTTTTTGAGTAGGAATGATTTAAATAAAAACCAAAATATTTACCGATACTATTACTCGAATTATCTCATATGCATGATGCTTGTTGTATACAAGTGTTATCTTAAAAACTTAAATTATTGATACCTAGCACTTATCAAATGTATGGAGAATTAAGCTAAAGTTTAGCCATTTAAGGAATACGTTTAGAGAACGGCATAAAATACTTCTGATAAATATCAAAACCCACCTATTGTAAATTGTGCACCTATAATTCTTGTATTACAATTTTTACTTTCGAATAAGTAGGTCAATGATCTACTTTTTATGCTCACTAGTCCCTGAGTATTATCTCGGAAAAATATCTCATTTTTTTTACATTATGACCAATATATGTTCTTTATTCACAAAATATTACAAGTAATAGAACTCTTTAAATAACGAAATATTGTAGAAATGAAATAGTTCTGGTACATATACATAAACAATTTAGAGCTTAAGCCATAGAGTTGTTAATTATTACAGTTGTAATATTACAAAAAATGAGTGATAAGAAATTACAATAAGTACATGTATTAATGACCTCTGCTTCATTTTGTTGTTCTTATTCTGCTGACATTAAAATCATATGAGGTCGAGGATCATATTATGTAGATATATTGTATGAATTGGTTTTCGTTCATATTTTTCTAAAATTCTAATGCCGTAATCAAAGATTCGGAGGTATGTAGTTTTTGTCCAGTCTTTTCGTCTGTCTTTTTGTACGCAAAAACTTTTAACTTGCCAGGTTTTTTCAAGCTATGATTTTTATGTTTCTCATGTGTATTCCATGTGATCAGACTTATTTGTAAGGTATTAACACATTTAACCTCTTAACATTAGAGAGTTTGACCCACTTTTGCAAAAAGTTACCAAACTTAAAGCTTTGGCTTACCTTTTGATTATTTGGGCTAGGGCTTTCATACTTCACATGTGTATGCAAAGTTCCAAGACCTTTCCTTTGGTATACCGATAATTAAATTTTACCTTTTGATCCTAATCTAGGAGTTTGACCCACTGAAAAGTCCTTTCTTTTGGAAACATTTTTTGATCGTTTGACCTTGACCCTTGAGGTTCACTTGCATTTGAGGAGCTTTAACCTTCGCCATACGCTTTCATACAGGGCATCAATGCTTCACAAATGCATCTTGTATCTTTAAGCAAGGGGCACAATTTCTCGAAATTAGGTTATAGTATTTACAGTTCTACTAAAAAAATCATTTTTGTGAACGTGTTTTTATAATACAACAATAATACGTTTGATCTTGCAAATATAATTATTAAAACATCATTCATTTATCTCTCTTTAGCATATATATGTATCTTAAAAAGAACTATTTCCTCATCATCAATTATAGACCTTTTGAAAGATTCCTAGCATTCGAATCAGCGACAGGGAAAATAGTGGATACTGGTGATTCGAATTCCGCTATTTGGAAAAGTTGTTGCCCTTTTGAAAGATTGTTACCCTTTTGAAAGATTGTTAGCACTCAAATCAGCGACCAAGAAAATGGCGGATATTGGTGATTAGGATTCCGCTATTAGGCATTGTAATAAACCACGGTTTATTTTGGGCATTCGAGATATAAGTGTATATAAATCCATATACAAGTACTAAGTGTACTTATTTTCCTCCTAAAAGTTAATGAACGTATGCCCTCTATCAGAACTTAATAAACGCCGACGATCATATTTTTCTTCGTATGTGGTGCCTTTCCAAAATGGACTCTGGATTAATTTGTGTCAGACATGAGTGTTCTGGGAAATTATTTATATTGTTCATTAGCTGGGAAACCTTTAAAACCACAGGATCCTATGTGAATTTTCATAGCCTTTGTTCTTCGGAGCTCTATTATTCTACCTCCTTCTGATAAATACGTATACATTTTTCTGAAAAAAAAAGATATTGAAAGAAAATGTCAACAGTCTAAGAAAAAAATCCCCTTTCTTTCTTTCTGACAACAAAAGGAATTTTTGTACATTCGCTTGGATAAAGAGGATCTTTGGAGACCTTACAGACTATTTTATATTTTAGTGAGCCATATAAGTAGTCTCATTCATATCCTAGCACGGGTCTGGAGCAGATGAGAGTCGCTTGCGTATGCTCAGAGATCTTTTTTGAGACTTGCAGCTTATGATTATAAAGCTTTCGAGATTCCTTTGGATTTGTCACAATGATGTATTTACATTTATGATTTTATGCATGTAAACTATTTGCAGAATAATAGTGCAAGACATTTACTTTCTTCGTTATTCCGCTATATTCACGATAAATAATTATTGAACTGACCAGACGTCTCTGATGAGACTGTAGCTCTACTGGTCTGTTCATATAACAAATAAAATAACACTTGAATTTACAACTTTTTTAGAATAGACAGCAATTAAAAGAATTGTGTACCTAAGTGTATTTTACGTGTGTGCCAAGTTATAGACCAAAACTGCAGGAGGAGTACCGTTTTAAAGGAATTTTACAGTATTTTCTATTTTTAGTAACCATGGCGACACCCTTCCAAGAAATCAAAAATAATGCACTAATTTCTGGACCTTTTTGTTGTTTGCCAAGTTATATTGAAATCAAACCAAAACTGTAGGAGATCTGTAGCGTTTTAAAGGAATTTCACAGTAACAATGGTAACATTGGTCATCGAAACAAGTTTATCTTTTTAAAAAAAAAATAGGTGAGCTAGCGCAGTAGCAATTTTTAAACACAGAAAAGAGGGTTCGTGATCAACTGATTGATCTTCTCAACAACCACTGGGCCAGAAAAGCTGAAACTTATGTGAAAGCATCCTTGGGTAGTTACTAGTGTAGACTCTAAATTGTTAAAATCATGGCCCCTGGGGGTAGGGCGGGGCCACAATAGGTAATCAAGTTTTAC